AACTCTATTAGCCTTTGCCCTGCTTCATTCTGTACTCCAAGGCCAAATTTGCCTGTTACCCTAGGTGTTTCTTGACTTCCTACTTCTGCATTCCAGTCCCCTATAATGAAAAGGACATCTTTTTTGGGTGTTAATTCTAAAAAGTCTTGTAGGTCTTCATAGAAACATTCAAGTTCAGCTTCTTCAGCGTCAATGGTCAGGGCATAGACTTGGATTACCATGATGTTGAATGGTTTGCCTTGGAAGTGAACAGAGATCATTCTGTCGTTTTTGAGATTGCATCCAGTACTGCATTTTGGACTCTTTTGTTGACTATGATGGCCACTCCATTTCTTCTAAGGGATTCCTGCCCACAGTAGTAGATATAATGGTCATCTGAGTTAAATTCACCCAGTCCAGTCCATCTTAGTTTGCTGATTTCTAGAATGTCAACATTCACTCTTGCCATCTCCTGTTTGACCACTTCCAATTTGCCTTGATTCATGGACCTAACATTCCAAGTTCCTATGCAATATTACAGCATTCTTCTATCACCAGTCACAAGCACAACTGGGTGTTGTTTTTGCTTTGGCTCCATCTCTTCATTCTTTCTGGAGTTATTTCTCCACTGATCTCCAGTAGCATATTGGGCACCTACCAACCTGGGGAGTTCATCTTTCAGTGTCCTATCTTTTTGCCTTTTCATACTGTTCATGGGGTTCTCAAGGCAAGAATACTGAAGTGGTTTGCCATTCCCTTCTCCAGTGGACCTATAATGCATATAGACTAACTTCTCAAAATAATGTCAACTATCATGATTGATTCAATTCTGAAATGCTCCTTACCTCGTATTGAGAAAAGAAAAGCATATAAGCAAGAAAAAGACCAAGTTTTCCATTCAATTTAGGTCGCTGACATTCTCCATTTGTTTGAAATGACAGGAAGGGATTATCATTCTAATAATATTTGATTATTTGAAATGTATTCTACAATTAACAAGTTTTGTTTATAAATTGCTCATGCAGAGGAACTGTGGTGCTGGAGAGTCCCTTGGACTGCAAGGAGATCAAACCAGTTAATCTTAAAGGAAATCAACCCTGAGTATTCATTGTAAGGACTGATGTTGAAGCTGAAGCTCCAGTACTTTGGACATCTGGTGTAAAGAGACAACTCACTGGAAAAGACCCTGATACTGGTAAAGATTGATGGCAGGGGAAGAAGAGGATGAGAGAGGACAAGATGGTTGGGTGGCATCACCAGTCCATGAGGCCACAAAGAGTTAGATGTGACTTAGAGACTCAACAACATATAGAGGAAATCAACAAATTAGCTGGAATTAGCAGAAACATCAGTTCTTTAGTAGAAGTATTCTGTGACTACATTCTAACACCGTGTAGCTTTCAGGAGAGTATCTGCTGCTGCTGCTGTCATTATCATGGTTACTGTTACTTCTGTCACCTGGGTGTGTAAACCTGAGTAGCAACACCCTGGGGTCCTGGCTTCATGAGAGTGGGGAGCTGCCCTGATGACTCACCCCCAGGCCGTCCTGAGCGGGCTCCCAACACGGGCTTGTTTGCTGACTTGGCCCTCGACTTGATGTGGAGCTGCTGACCTAGATTCTTGATCTTGTTCACACTGGCACAGACCTGCTGCAAAGTCAACTTAGGGAAAAGAGTGATGAACAATGTTTCAAAGATTATAACAATGTGTATCAAGAGATATATAAACCAAATACATGTAACTTTTGGTTCTCTGAGGACAGAATGACTGAAATCACCATAACAGCATCAGTTTATTCTTCCACTGAGCCACAGCACATGGGTGCTGATGAGGCTTTGCATCAACCTGTCCACGACATGCTAGTTTTTATTTTAATTTTGTTTTATTTTATTTATTAATTTTTTTGGCTGCACCCTGTGGCATGTGGGACCTTAGTTCCCAAACCACGGATTGAACCCATGCCCTCTGCAGTGAAAGTGCTGAGTCTTAACCACTGGACCACCAGGGAAGTCACCAGGCTAATTTTCAGAAAATATACAAGTAGCCCAAATGACACCTTCTTAAAGGTGGTGTTTTTTTTTTACAGACATTTTTCCCAAACCTAAGTGGATCAGAAGGTCTATGACCAAATCAGGTCTTCAAGTCAAGAGCATATACTGAGAAGCCACACACATCGAGGTAAAGAACAGGCGCTAAGACGTCCCGGGTAACAATACATGGAGAAAAGGACATGTGCTTGGAAGCACATGCGTGCCTGCTCACCGGTGCCTTCGGCACCTCATCCATGCTGTGCCTGCTAGACTCACTGGAGGACACGAGGCTGACCTGAGGCTCCTGTGACCTGCTGCTCCCCAGGTTCCCGTAGCCGCTGGACATGCTCCCGTGAATAGGCTGCGAGAGAGAGGGGGACCCATGTAGCCACAGGTTACATGGCAAGTTAGAGGGGAGATCTGCATTACCTGCCTTTGAGCTCACCTGCAGTAATCACTAAATTAAGGTGAAAATTTTTGGAATCCTAAGGGCGGCATGTGAAGGGTGATGCTGACATAGAGGACATTTCTTTCTCATCTCAGTAATTCTCAAGGGCAGAGTTTATTTTTCTAGTCTAGGTGGATATTTAGAGACCAACGATTTTTTTAAAAGCTGTAGTTAATAAATTTAACAAAACATGAAAATAAACTCTAGCTCTTGATGCTGCATTTAAAACAGGTAGAACAAACAAAATACCAATATATACCATACTATCTCTCCAAACCTAACAGATACTTCATGAACCCTAGAGATGGCTGGATAGCTTCATCAACTCAATGGACATGAGTTTGAGAAAACTCTGGGAGACAGTGAATGACATGGAAGCCTGGTGTGCTATAGTCCATTGGGTTGCAAAGAGTCGGACACAACTTAGCAACTGAATAACAGAGATTTTATCAACGACATTTTGAAAATTACTACTGACCAACAGTTTTAGTGATACCACTGTTATAGCCAAATGCTCCGGGAAGCAAACTCACTCAGGACAGCGTGAATAGTGGAGTGCAGTTTATTACATTGGTGGGTCCGAGGCAGAGTTTCCTCTTGACCCAGGGACCCTGACTGATTTTTGTGACAACCGTTTATATCCAAAGTGTAGGTACCCAAGCCCCCATCCCCAAATTCTTTAAAACCCACTCTGGACAATGTTATTAAAAGATACAATCAGGTTATAGCCATAAATTCACATTCTAAAGCTATCTGGACATACAACTTAGCCAACAGCAATAGGTATTATTAAGATTACAGATAGTGATTGATTACATAGTGGACATTGCATTTCTTCTGGCTCTGGGAGGTCTAGGTACAGGGTCTGCCTGGGAATACGCCCGGGAGGCCTATTCGGCTGCTGGTATTTTATCTTCATGGCCTCCTAGATATATAGTCCAAAAGTTCGCCGAGACTGTAAGATGGAGCTCCTTTTCTTTTAAAAATGGAGTCAGTCCAGTCAGGGCAACCTGCTCCTTTCCTCTTTCACTATCAGTAAATACTCTTCAAGTTTATTGATTGACTCTCTAGTAGAAATCATTTTGGTACTTGTTTTCAACAGGTAATAGTTTTTTCATACTTTTGCCTCATAATGATTAGAGATACTGAGATCCGCCACCCCTCCCCCACTTTTAAAATTAATTATTTCAAAGAATAACAAAGCTAAAACACTGGCAGCATTTGAAACACAAGAATTCTCTAATTTAGAAATAACTTCTTTGTCTAATTGCTTCCTGTGACTCAGTATGCTGTCTTCAATAGGGTTCTTACAAAAATGTCCTGTGTATTTAACACAGATAAAGGAAAACAAGATTAATGAAATTTAACTTAAAAACAAAAAGAGGAAGACAAAAATTTCTGAAATGTAGAGGGTAAGGCTCACAGTTTATTTCTATGAAATGACTTTACTAACACTGAATGTTAAAATTAAACACAACTATGAGAATTTTGTGTTTGTTTTTTAAAAAATCTCTCACTTTACCTGTAAGAGAAGTTTCTGAATTTGTTCTCGTAATTCTGTGATGTCTTTGTCATCACTGCTCATCTTTTTTACTCTGGTGGCAAAAACATCCTTGTTTAGTGGACTCCTACAAAATGCCAAGGGAAAGACTGAGTCATGCAATTTAAGATTCATTCATAATGAAGTCTAAAGTTATCTTTAATAGAATATTCAAACAATAAAGCTATGTCTTTACAAAGCAACTTTTCAACTCCAAATATAGAAAATATGAAGTTCATATTCTATTTATGGAAGCAGAGAAAATCCTAAGAAACAAGGGAGATGTTAACAGTTTTTAGTTTAGTCTCTTCATAGCTCTGATCTTCCCATAATCATCTCAGCACTGTATCTGTATAAATTTAAAACAGTGACAAGTAACCTCCTCAGCTACTAAAGCATGTTCAACAACTACTGGTCTCAAAATTTAACATGAACTGACTAACCTACTGGTTCTGAAACTGAGGGCTTCCTTGGTGGTTCGGACAGTAAAAATTCGCCTTCAATGAAAGAGACCTGGATTTGATCCCTGGGTCAGGAAGATCACTTGGGGGAGGAAATGGCAACCCACTCCAGTATTCTTGCCTGGCGAATCCCCTGAACAGAGGAGCCTGGTGAGCTACAGTCCATGGAGTTGCAAAGAGTCAGACATGACTGAGTAACTAACAATTTCACTTTTCACTTTTTTTCTAAGAAATTTTAAGACCTTAAGTTTGTGAAACAACATTCAATGCTTAATGTATCTAATCACTTAGCTGTGTAATAAAGATGACTCTGCTCCCATCCTCATGGTGAACATGTGGCTGTCACAGAACCTTCAGCCTTCTTTATATTCAAATTCTAGAGCATCTGAAATCTACTAGCTGAATAGCAACAAAGAAGGAACTGACAATGACATTTTCTATGTGGCTTATTCTTGATGTACGTCATGAAGCAAGGCTACTTCCTGTCGTGTAGAGGGTCCTGAGTCATTGTCAGTATATTATCAAGAGTGAAACAGATCTCCAGTCCAGGTTGGATGCATGAGACAAGTGCTCGGGGCTGGTGCACTGGGATGACCCAGAGGGATGGGATGGGGAGGGAGGCGGGAGGGGGGATCGGGATGGGGAACACATGTAAATCCATGGTTGATTCATGTCAGTGTATGGCAAAAACCATTACAATACTGTAAAGTAATTAGCCTCCAACTAATAAAAATAAATGGGAAAAAAAAATAAGCCACATTTTCGAAACTCTCACAACATGTGAGCGCCACTCCAAGTGCTCCACCACGTTCCCCTCCTCCTATCCCATGCGCCGTGAGCCTGAGTGTCATCCAGAGGTGTCTGGGCCGCTGGTCAAGTGCAAGTCTGAGTGAAAATAGGACGTCCGGCTTTATGTAATGAGACTGGGATACTCCCAGGGTGGACCCTTCCTACAAAACTGAGTTATACATTTAATCACCATTACATCACTCAAAGGATTTACATGAGAGGATTCCCTGGTGGTCTAGCTATCAGGACTCAGAACTATCACTGCCAAGGGTTCAGGTTCAATCCCTGGTCAATGAACAAAGGCTTCCTTGGTGGATCAGTGGTAAAAAATCTGCCTGCAATGAAGGGAGATGCACAAGATTCAGGTTTGATCCCTGGGTTGGGAAGATCCCCTGGAGAAGGGAATGGCAACCCACTCCAGTATTCTTGCCTGGAGAATCCCATGGACAGAGGAGGCTGGCAGGCTACAGTCCATAGGATCGCCAAGAGCCAGACACGACTGAGCATGCACATGTAAGGAACTAAGACCAACTGAGATACCACAAACTGCATCACTCGGCCAAAAAAAAATTATTCACATGGAGGCAAGAGAGACAGCACCTTCAACAAATGCTATCAACTCAGCATGAAGAGTTGGCTGCGGTACTTGTCAGGAAATTGGCTGAGGGCTAAGGAAGGAAACTTGGTTTTCGTCTCCTCTTTGCAACTTCCTCCCTCAGAGATGGCTGAGAAAGTGACTCTGTTTCACCGAATGTGGATTTTTTTTTTCTGTAATGTGAGAGGTAATGTGTGAAGGCACCTAGCCTTCCTCCCCAGAGAGCTGCTTAATATCGAGGAGAGATTAAGATTAGGGTCCCTCACTGAACGCTCTCACAGGCCCCCTCCCACTCAGCTGTCACCTTTCCAAAACTCTACTCATGTGTCACAGCACCGCTTCTTTTCCCGTGTGCACTGGGCTACACGGAGGCAAGGAGAACGTCTGCTCTGTTTACAACCCCATCCTTGGGGTCCAGCGCAACGCCTGACTCAGCAGGTACTCCGTAAATACTTACTGAAGGAATAAATGCACTAAAGTAACTATATAAACATAACAGATAAGTATTATTCTGTGAGAGGTTAATACCTACTAGACTCTAAATGCTTTCCCTCACATAATCCTGCATGTGGAGATGCAAATATTGGTAGAATCTGTAAAAAACACTGAAAACACTGTAAGTACTAATATGTCCATTTATTCCACATATTTTTAAGATTTTTTTTTTTGATGTGGACCATTTTTAATGTCTTTATTGAATTTATTACAATATTGTTTGTTTTATGTGTTGGCTTTTTAGCCTCGAGGTATGTAGGGTCTTAGCTACCCAACCGGGGATCACACCTGCAACCCCTGCAATGGAACTCGAATTTTTAACCACTGGACCACCAGGGGAGTCCCTACTCCATATATATATATATATATTTTTTTTTTTAAGTAATTTTTTCTCTTTCCTTTTTTTAAATTATGAAACTATGATATTTACAGAAGACTTGGAAAATAGAGGAGAGTTACATATAGCCCCACTATGTGTGTGTGTGTATATATATATATATATATATATATATATATACATATATATAAATTATTTTTTAAAGTAGAAAATTAAGATTTTTAGTTGGGGTTTCAATATCAAAGGGTTTTCCTGGTGGCTCAGATGGTAAAGAACCCGCCTACAATGCAGGAAACCTGGGTTCGATTCCTGGGTTGGGAAGATCCCCTGGAGAAGGAAATGGCTACCTACTCCAATATTCTTGCCTGAAGAATTTCATGGACTGAGGAGCCTGGAAACCTATAGTCCATGGGGTCACAAAGAGGCACAACTCAGTGACTCACACACACACACTCAATATCAAACTCTCAAAAATTAGCAGAATGAATATACAGAGAAGTAAAAGGATATAGCAAACCTGAGAAGCACTGTGAACCAATTGAACATAACTAAGATTTATACAATTTTCATACAACAATAGGATCCAAATTATATTCAAGCTCCCATAGAGTCTAAACTAGGAGACACTGGAACATATTCAGGGACATAAAACAAGGTGCAAAAATTTCATGGTCTAAAGGTACTGAAATCCTAGAGTCTAGAGTCTGTTCTCTTATCACTGTGGAACTATGCTAGAAATTGGTATCAAAAGATATTTGAAAATAACTCACATATTTTCAAGTGCAATGTGACATGTACCAAGAGAGACTTTTGACTTATTAGCCATTGAAAGCCCCTATTCCACACACTTTTAAATCAAAGAATGGAAAGGAGAGTTGGAGAATAAATCTAGGACCCTCCTCTGGTGCTGATGGGGAGGTACTCACAGCAGTCAACAGCCACCAAGATGGACATCTCATCAGAGGAAGTGGGGTTTCCTATATTCTAAGCAACCATCTAATTTTATCTTCATTTCCCAACAGGTTTCCCTATTCGGCTGATCAACATGAACAACTCTTTCTTGGCAATCATATTAGCTACCTTAATTATCAGATTAGTCTTCTACCTCAAATCAGCCTCATGAGTCAGGGCTGCAGGGAGCCTGATACTTCCACTAAGGCTGCAGACTCACTCTGCTGAGAGGCTGACCCCTAGAGCACAGTCAGGTCAGAACAACCTGAGGCCTATCTCACCATGGCCCAGCATCACTCCATCACAATATTAACACAGGATAAAATAAATCTGACTGGGAGATCTACTGTTCTTAGTTTTATGCTTATGTCTACAAAGTTGCATTAAAAAATACAAAGATAATTTATCAATCTATGGTTTCTCCAGTGGTCATGTACAGATGTGAGAGTTAGACCGTAAGGAAGGCCGAGTGTTTTCGAACTGATGCTTTCAAACTGTGATGTTGGAGAAGACTCTTGAGAGTCCCTTGGACTGAGATGAGATGGTTGGATGGCATCACTGACCCAATGGACATGAGACTGGGTAAACTCCGGGAGCTGGTGAGGGACAGGGAGGCCTGGAGTGCTGCAGTTCATGGGGTCACAAAGAGTCGGACATGACTGAGTGACTGAACTGAACTTCGGTATTATACTGCTGCTGTTGTTCTTGTTCAGCCGCTAAGTCATGTCCAGTTCTTAGCAACCCAATATTTTGGCCACATGAGGCAAAGAGCCAACACATTGGAAATGACGCTGATGCTGGGAAAGACAAGGCAAAAGGAGAAGGGGACAGCAAAGGATGAGATTATTAGACAGCATCACCAACTCAACCATCTCATCTTCTGTTGTCCCCTTCTCCTCCTGCCCTCAATTTTTTCCAGCATCAGGGTCTTTTCAAACTAATCAGCTCTTCGCATCAGGTGGCCAAAGTACTGGAGTTTCAGGCTCAACATCAGTCCTTACAATGAACACCCAGGACTGATCTCCTTTAGCATGGACTGATTGGATCTTCTTGCAGTCCAAGGGAATCTCAAGAGTCTTCTCCAACACCACAATTCAAAAGCATTAATTTTTCGGTGCTCAGCTTTCTTCACCGTCCAACTCTCATATCCATACATGACTACTGGAAAAACCATAGCCTTGACTAGACGGACCTTTGTTGGCAAAGTAATGTCTCTGCTTTTTAATATGCTGTCTAGGTTGGTCATAACTTTCCTTCCAAGGAGTAAGCGTCTTTTAATTTCATGGCTGCAGTCACCATCTGCAGTGATTTTGGAGCCC